TGTCTTAATCGTGTTTTCAAATTGATTTTATTAAAAAACAACTGTGTTTTTCCCATTTTCGGCGCCGTCAGAACCACCACAAGGTAATTTTATGTAGTCCTGTGAAGTTTTGTTGAAATCGGCTAAAAAATGTAGGAAATTCGATCCAACATATAAACGTTACAGACACACACACACACACACAATCTGCGTTTTATAATAAGTAAGATTTAAAATAATGAAAATAGAAACGTGAATAATAATGGAGTCAAATTTCTGGTTTTCTCGTCCTGTCTATTTAAATGGTTTCTTCAAATTGTTGTTGGCTATTTATTCTAACTGCTGTATGCGGGAGGTACTGAGAAAAATTTCTGCAGCTTCTTCTACCAGCCAGAACAATATATAATTGAGTTCTTGCTGAATTCACAATACCAAGGTGTGTGCATCTGCCAAGTGGGTGGAATACAATAATTGTTTAGCTTAGCTAAATCCTTTATCTTTGCAAAAAAAAGTACATCAGCCTTGGAGGAGCTTCTTTATATGTGGAGAAGAGAGGGATTCTGTCTAATGGTATAATATGCAACAAACACCCAGCAATAATCTTTTTAATAAAAATATTTATATCAAGTAAAGAACTTTTTATTATAACATTTTTGTTTCTTAAATACATTACATAGAATGTCAACAAGTGGATGTTACCAAATTAATAAACATAACTAAAAATAAATCTTACAAAAAATATTTCCAATTTTTGTTCTGATTTGGGCCAAACATTTCGAATAGAATCTTGTAGTAAGAAGCCTGCAGTGGTAAGCAATATATTTATCTAAAAGAAACACAACCATTTTTATTCTAATGTAGATATTTATAACATATTGAAGAATTTCTAAGTAACAAACCAATTATTAAAAGAAAAAAAATACGCTAAGTCTTTGCAGCTAGAATTTTTTTTTCTCAATGAGCATTTCCAAATATTGCAAATAGAAATTTATTTAATCAGTTCAGTTTTATCTGCCAAAAAGCACAGAATCTATGTCTGAAATTGCTTCTAAGATTATCATTAATATTTTTCTAGCAAGAAAGTATTTTTATACCAGAATATAACAACTGTAAATTCAACATATTTCAAAGATGGTCATAGCCATGGTTGATAGTGGGGACAAGCTCCTACTGTCTATAAAATGCTTCCATGGCATGCATCTCAAATAGCTTCTGACAACTAAGTCCAGCTCTAAGTCAGAGAATGGGTGAAGGTGGATTATTGGTGCCTCATAACCAGATGCTTTGGGTAAATAGAGCTTGACAGCCCAGAAAAGCAGTCCCTCTAGGGAAAGGAAAATCCTGATTTTAAACCACTGCTGCTTTACAGACACATCCAAACATGGAAAAGGCTATGGAAGTAAATCCAGACAGAAAAACTGCAGTGGATGCCCAAAGGCAGTTGGCTGTCAACACTGACAAATTTTCTGGCAACTCCTGCAGCCAAGCTGTTCCCAAATGTAAAGCCTTGTATTCCTTTGAATTTTGTCATTATTGTGCAACGGGAGTGGGGCAGATGTAGTTTAGGCAACACACGACCTCCATATACCATTGCCCAGGCCTGCATCCTCGAGAACACTCTAAACTTACTACCAAAGAATGGAATTTTGACCGTACAGGACACTACCTTTGGAAATATGATTATTATCTTTGAAAACAATTTTAAATTTTTGTTAATCATTAACTTACTATTATCTGAAATCAAAATTTGTTACTTGTGCTCCATTTAGTGGGTAAAGGAATTAGTGGGAATTTTAAATTAAATCTAAATAAATAATTCAAATTGTACATATCTGTATTTTTCCCAATAACTATGACAGGGTGTAAAAAGTTCTTTGCTCAACCCCCATGTCCCAAAGTTTAACCAAATATCAGAATTATTTTTTGGAATCTCTTCTTGGTCTGGCCAAGAACTTTTAGGTTCCTGTTGTATGAGGTAAGCAGGATGTAGAAATAGAGAACCTCTTATGTAACAAGAAATATTTTAGACATGCCCTCAAATCCAGATGTGAAATGAGTTACAAATTTAGGAGTAATTCTTTTGATGAGAAATAACTTTTCAGTAACTCAGCCCACCAACATAAACTTTAGAGTATAAGAAGTTACTTATCTAAAGTACAATTCATATACATTCAGATTTTTTTTTTATGATAATGGTTAAATTAGTAGTTTCCATACAGGAAACATTAGGAATTCATTGATCAAACAGTTAATTACTGTCAATTGAAATTTATAAAATCTTTTTAAAATAGTTTTTTTCAGAAAATTAAACTTCTCAAGTCTGCTGTTATTGCTCATTCTAGTATTGAGGGGAAATGTTTTTTCCAAATCTTTTGTCTTTGGTAGTTAACATATTGATTATACAATTATTCTCTCTTCTAGTTAATACATGTAATGAATAAACAATACCAAAAATAAACTTAAGAAGCTTTATTCAGCTAAACTGAATCATTAGTAATTAAACATAAACCTTTTATACAGGGTGGTTACTATTGAAATGGGTAGGATGGGATAGGGTCATTATTATCACAACACACTTGAAACTATTTTTAATTATAGATTATCTTTTTAAATTGAAATAAAAATGTATAGATTCTGACCAGCACATGTTTGTATTAAAATCTGTTAAGTATAGGAACCAGTATAGTTTTTCTGATATTAAAAAGTTCTCATTCCAACAAAAAAAAAAAAATAAAAATTCTAATGCTTGGTTAGATTTTTGAAAGTGAATTTTTCAACACTATAACATATAAAAGAAAATAAATATACATACATACACATTTTATATATAGATATATATATATACACACACACACACACACACATACATACATTTGGTAGGAGTTTGTGACCCTGGGTTTCACGCTATTTGCAATCGTCAGACAAACTGATTAATTTTTTAAACTTTGGATTTATATATGGTTGCGTATATCGATGTTTTTATGGTAGTGGGAGGTAAAATTGTTGTCGGAACATCACTCATACATACATATATATACACGCACGTTCATGCACTGCAGCTCCCACAAATATAAACATATATGGACAGTATGGGGCTGGACATATATGTGCATCCATGTGTTGGTCACTGTATTCAATGTTAGATTGTGTAATGAAACATCTTTTATCAATTGCGGTGTCAACACGCAGACCGTTCGTCTATTTTGTTCACCGAATAATGTTTTCTCGCACACACGTATGTACGTATGCACATGCGTTCACACATCTGTCTGTTTTTTTCTTTTATGATGGGGTTTTTGTAATACTATGATAGGTAAAATTGCTATTTTTTTTTTTTTTTTTAATGTTGTTTTGTTATTATTTTAAAGCCAGTTATTTGCTTGTTTTTGGTGATTGCACATATATATATATATATATATATATATATATATATATATATATATATGGTAGAAATTATAATTTATAATGCTTATTAGTATTTATGCGGTGCTATTAATTTTTCTGGTGGGGGGAGAAGTAAGTATAATTTTGGACTGATACGGTAATGTTAATTGTAGCGTGGTAGTAATGGTTGGTATTTATTTTTTTTTATCTGTTTGGCATAAATTGTGATAATAGGTACTTTTTTTCCTGTCTGCATTTAGAAATTATTTCTGATCTTATGTTTAGTAATTTCTTTTGTTGAGTATGAGAAATTATTGCTACCTTTTCATGTAGACAAAGTAGGTATTTCTTTGTAATGTTGTTGTAGACAGGTGCGTTTTTCAATATTTTCAAGCTTATTCATGGTGTAATATTTGTCTTTTAGAAGCCATATGTATGTGGATAGTGTAGTGCTGTTTGAGTATTTTCTGTTGGAGAATGAAAGGTCATGATTGTTTTTTCTTTTCTTGAATGGTCCCTCAGTAGCACCGATGTAGTACATTGTGATGTTGTTTGCACTTACCTTTACCTTATATCCATTTGGGCACCTTGAGGCGGTGTAATGGTTAGCAAGCTTGTCTCGCTAGAACAATTACAACTGAATAGTGAGTTCAATCCTCACTGGGTGCCCAATACTTTCAGCCTTGTGCCACATCTGAGCTACACTTGGAAAATCACTATATTATATTTGTTTGTTGGCAGTTTCCTTGGAATGAACATGTTTTATTTCTGCAGTTTCATTGAGGTTCCTTGGTTGCATTATTGCAGGTTGTTACTTTTTTGTTGTGGCTTTTTATTATTTGTATTATTTTTTTGTGCAGCTGTAACTGATTTTAACATTATTTTTGTTGAATATTTTTGCTAATCGGTTTGTTTCAGGGAAGTGTTATATATGTGTGTGTGTGTGTGTGTAACACATTTCATAGAACACACAGATACTACAGTGATTCTAGGCAGAAGTGACAGGGGAGTGAAACTTTGCCCTAAGAAATAGTTCACAGATATTTTATGCTGATCCTAGGCAAAGGGTCAGGAAGTAACACTTAGTCCCTATGCAAAGGGGCACATAAACTAGGATCCTAGGCAGAAATGTTGATCCATGCTTCCTGTCATTTTTTTTGTCATGTGCTATGGAAATAAAATCAAAGCTATTTTAGATACAACAGAGAAATGTATTTTCAAGTTAACATTATATCTTTATTTGTTTCTGCCATAAAAGCACATAAAATTAATTACATATTTCCTGCCATTGTCAGAAATATTATTCTCTTATTATAAAAATAATATCACTTTTTTTCCAAGTTTTGTTTGGACCATTCAATCTCTTTGTCTAAATAAGTTATGATTATTTGGATTATTTACATGCAGACTATCAACCCTTTTGTAGGTTATTTAAAGCCAGAAAATATTTTTTAGACTGTAAGAATATTCTGGAGATAATAATGATTTACTGATAGAAGTCCTACTAATTAAGAGAAAGAGATGGATTCATACTTTTCCCAAGGATATTTCATGTAACAAACACAAATGAAATTGAAAATCAGCCCTCTGATTTCCAATTCCAAGTCATTATCCATTACACCAACCACACACCCAAGCTTACAGCACCTGGTATTCCCAAGCAGTCACCCATCTAGGTACTGACTAAGCTCAATATTGCTTCACTTTGGTGATTATATGAGAACCGGTGTTTAAATGTGATATTGCTGTAAACCTCAGACTAATGTCCCCATCTTTGTTGTTGTTATCCCAACATTTCAACCATTATAAACTCCAGCCTTCTTCAAGTATCTAACAATCCTGGTAACCTTCAAGAACTTTTAGAGTGAACTCTTTATTTAATCTATAGGGGTAGAGTGTTCTCATTCCGCTGCCTATGTCTTGGAGTATCTTGTCTTGTTCTTTTTTTTTTTTTTTTTAATATGGCTCAGTTATTGCTGGCCTTGTTTCCAATGATTCTGAGTCTGTACTAAGCCAGACCAGGGATTGAACTCACAATTATTATGCCACCACATTCACAAACCAATGTTTTAATCTTCTAAGCTATAGTCAAACAATGGAAGAAGGCCAGATGTCACAATGGTCAAAATGTCATAGTAACAACAAAAATGAGGATATTAGTCCAAATGTACATAATGTATATATCAGACCTCTTCTTTGCGCTTCTTTTGTTTGTCATACAATCTTCACCTAATCATTCTAGAACCTTTTTTTAGGCTTGTACGAAAAGTTGAGGGGGTCTTTTTATGCAGAAATAAATGGTGAACAAAAAGAAATAAATAGTAGCCAACATACCAACTTACTTGGCTGATTACCAACAGCACCAACCACTTGAAACATTGTTGTAATAGAAACAAAAAGTAATATAAAGTATGAAGAACAGTAGTCTGAACAAATCTTACAATGATGAAGAATTTTCTTAAATATATGTAAGAACATTTTCTAATTTTATTCCTTTTTAAAAAAAAAATGTTTATTCTCTTTTAAAGATAAATATTTATCAGACTTTGTCAATTTTCTGATTTCAATAGGAAATATGTATTGGTGTAGAGGTTTATCTCTTGTTTCCTGTTTAGGAAAAAAAAAATTACACTAACAAATCTAGAGTTCTTTTTTCATATATTACTATCAATTAACCACTCCAGATTTCAAATTTTTATTTTTTTTTTTTACCTTTTTGTATGGGTATATTTGTTTTGGTTTCCATAGGGAGATTAATTTGTATTTAATTTACTTAGCAAAATAAACATTCCCCCTATAAACTTTTATAAAATTTAATAATTTTATTTTATATTTATGAGCTGGTGAGCTTAAACTATAGTGATATGAAAAAAACAATTTTAAAAAAGTGATTATTTCTGGTCACAATGCCTGTTGTTACAACAGCAACATATTGTCATATCATAAGATGCCAATTTCATTACAATTTGAAAGTATTTAATGCAGGGCCCCCTCCAAAAATGTGGGATTCATAGCATTTATTGTTTTTGCTACTGGGTTAATTCTGCACTGTTGAGAACTGGAATCAAAATAATTACTGTTTTAGTTATATTCTTCTTAAGAGTGCCAAACAACAAATAAGAAAGAAGCAACCATCTTTGGAAACTGTTTGAAAGTCAAAACAAATAATATAGATAAAAATGTAAAGTCTTCAGAGTCTCATACTTAGCAAAATCCATTTGTCTGCTTGGATTAGATTTTTTTTAAAAATGGCTCCTAGAAACTAAACAATGAAACTTTGTTTTCGGCATTTTCTATCAAGTAGTGGCATTTTTAAGGATCATTAAAACAAATGTACCACTGAAGTCTGAATAGCTTATTTATCAAAATATCTACAAGACATCTTTTCTTCTGTTTGCGTGCTTACCTGTTTTAACAAAACCTGAACTGTGATTTTAAACTCAGGAAAGACATATCTGCATCACATTAAAATAAACATCTATAGTGTGTAAATATTCTGTTATAATTATCTTACAAGATAATTATCAAACCTCAAGCAAGTCAATAAAGCCACTAAGATGCAAGGGGATACTGAGTGTGAAAGAATATGAGAAAAAGAAAACATTAAGGAGAGAGAACAATAAAAGAAATTAAAAAAACAGAATTTCATGATTGACATTTCATTTAAATTTTTGAAGATCAAAGTTGACTGAAAAACAAGAGGGAGTTCCACCAGCAAGAAGTGCAAGAGAAGAAACTGTTAGCATAGAACTTAGTTACACATAGCCATTTCAACTGTAAAAGGATGAGATCTTGCTGCCACTCAAGTACTGAGCTTAAATTCATAAAGTCTAGATAGCATAGAGGAAAGTTCATCAGAACAATTACCATGAAAAAGAAAAGGCACAGGAAAGCCATATTAAGGCTTACATAATAACTGATCACACAATTTGAGCATAGCATATATGCTGACTCCTTCAACCATCTTATTCTCAACTACCTCTTCATGTTAGTTATTTCAACTTTATCCTACAGAGTTTAATGACCACCCTTCTCCCTCTACATATGATCAAACATTCATTATTTAAAAGTTTCTTCATGGTTTACAGCTTTCTAATTTCCTTATATCGTATTTTTAGTTTGAATGAAACAATAAAATGAGTTTCACACATCTTAAAATCTTCAGATAAAAATCCTCTGAAGTTTCTCCAATACAAATTTGCTGCTTAATTGGATGGGAAATAAAATTAATGTAATTAACGAGTTCAGAAAAGTAATTTGTCATTTAGTGAGGTGAGGAATTAACTTATGTTAAAGGAATGTCATTCAATGATGTTATTTGCTCAGAATAATGTAATGCAACCTATTCATATTTACATTTCAAAGTTTAATATATTTCGGGTGAATTTATTTGGTATCAGTGGTTCAATGAAAACTGGAATCTCTCTGAAAAAGAATTGCTCTCTTTTTACACAAAAAGCCAATCAATATAATTAACTACAATAACATATTATTACGAATAGATAAAGATTATTATATAAATTTACTGTGCCTATTAATTTTATGAAGACAATATATATTCAGTCAAGTTAACTCAGACAGTCACAAGTATCATACCAACCATGACAGTACAACATCAAAGTTGAAAGGTCATTAAGGAGGCATTCTATGTCATAGCAATATAGATAGTTACTGGGCAACCAACCCGTTTTGCTCCATGGGTTGGGTAAGTGTCCAGTAGATCACTTGTGAGTTCTTGTTTTGTTTACCAGTAGTGTTCTGCAAAGTACATTTTTCACTCGTATAAGACTGTAAAAATGTCAGGGAGGGCTCATTGTTAACAGTAAGTTATTAAAAGAAAAATCTTCTCTCTCATTTCTGGCTTTTGTGGGCTAGGATCAGACTTATCATATCTTTGGGTGAGATAGGACACAAAATTGATACCGATTTGCCTAGTCCCTGAAGATTCCACCTCTTTATTTCACTAATATGGTGGATTTGTTGGTAACCATTGTGCCTTTGTAATCCAAGTCCTAGCAATATGGCAATTTTTACCTACACCTACACATATGCATCTAGGGCTTCATTAAATATGTATCTTATTTTCAAACATAGGGAAAAAGGTAAATAAAAATATCTCCTTGGATACAAAATGAAAATAAACAAAATAATCTGTCTAGTTGATACATGCTAACTAATTTTTGGTTCCAGTAAGAAAAGAACTTTTTTATTTTTAAATCAGAGTGCTGTCTGCCATATAAAAAAAATGTAATTTTGCTATTGTTAGTTTTGTCATTTTTGGTCTTCCATACTTCATATCATAAGACACTTTTAAATTTAGATGGACTTTCATCAGACTGTATTTTATTGTGACATATCACAAGCAACTCAAGGTGTTAAGAACTATGTCTCCCTAATCATGTTATCTATGCTATTCCACAATCTTCAATGTACTGTATCCCTTCAGGATATGAGGGATCATGGCTATACACAATTTCCTATTCTTTGTAGATCTTAGCAATGTCTGTCTTTTTACTATCATTTCTACTCCATTCTGACATCCATTCACACAAGTTTGTTAGGTAGGTTGAACATGGCTCTCCACATCCTTTGCAGCTCTTAGCTCTTAGCAATGTTTGTATTTCACTCCCTATTCTGCCACCCGTTCACACAAGCTTGTTAGGTAGTTACTCACAGTTTTCCTCTGTTCCTCTTGTCTTCACTATGTCCTGTGTGTGTCAAATTCTCTTAGCTCTCTTTCCTTATTCTGTCCCAGAAATTTTAACTGTCTCTTTCTGATTATTATATACATACAATATTCATTCATACAAGTCAAATTTCAGATTTTAAAGTTTTTAACACTCTAGATTATTCAAGTGAAATATTCTAGAATGTTCCAGTAATGTTATCAGTAGTTATTTTTAGCCTAAAAAATACAAACAGAACATTCTGTAATTGATATTCATGCAAGAAAGTTATCATCATGGCAAGAGGGAGAGAATTACCAAATTTGCAAAAAGAACTGATTGTTCAGTTCTGGAAAGAAGGTAAAAGTTACAGGAAAATCTCAGACAACCTGAATATTCGATTTACTACCATTAGTTCATTCATTGCAAGGGATAAAAACCAGAAAACTGTTGAAAACCAAAAAAGAACAGGTGCTTCACAGAAGATTTCTGCAAGATCTTCGAGGAAATGAATGTGTCAAATTAAACAAAATCCAATGGTTACTTGTCAAGAGTTGCAGGATAATTTGCTTTAATCAGGAATCTGTGTCACTAAATGTACAATAAGCAATGAAACAATTTAAAGTCACTCTCCCCTCAAAAAACTCCTCTGTTATTGAAAAGACACAGAGATGCCAGGTTAAAATTTGTTTGTGAACATAAGGATAAGAAAAAATTGTATTGGGAAAGAGTATTATGGACAGATAAAAATCATGTATAGAGGAAAGATGGTGATGCCTTCAAATAGAAATCATGTATGGAGGAAAGATGGTGATGCCTTCAAATAGAAATCATGCATGGAGGAAAGATGGTGATGCCTTCAAATAGAAATCATGCATGGAGGAAAGATGGTGATGCCTTCAAATAGAAATCATGCATGGAGGAAAGATGGTGATGCCTTCAAATAGAAATCATGCATGGAGGAAAGATGGTGATGCCTTCAAATAAAAAGAACACAGTCCTATAGTGAAATTTGGTGGTGGCAGAATCATGGTTTGGGGATGTTTTTCTGCAAAAGGTACTGGCAACATATCACTAATA